ATTTTTTATGTTATCAAGCAAGACGTCAGTCCATAATAGATGCAGTGCCACTCAGAGCTTTAAAACACAAAGTTCTGAGGGGCTCTGCCACTGCAGCCGTCACCCTGAGCATAAGTTGATAAGTCTCATGTGCCTGTGATTTTATTAGGACACTTACCCTCCAGGAATGCTCGCTTTACTGCTTGGCGGCAGAATTAGGTAAGGTGGCAGTACCTCTCTGGCAGTATTTTGTGAAATCACAAACACATGGAACTTGTCAACTTATGTCTCGGGGTGAAGGGCGCAGCGGCAATGCTCCTCAGATCTTTGCGATTTAAAACTGGGTAAAAATAGGCGTGTAGCTTACCATCAGGCACAACTTGTTGGTCCCGTCACTTGATATTATAAAAAAAACCTCTGGACGAACTCCATTACAAGGAGCTCTACTGCTACATGATATTATATAATATTATAACGATAAATTGAAATAGGATTTTTTCATCGTTATGTACACTGAGCGTTTACGTAATCATAGGAATAATTTTGTCTGGGTGTGAAACACTTCACAAATTATGTACATACTGATGTACACAGGGCGTTATGAAGCTATCGCGTATATAATATTCTAACAACTATTAGGAAAGGCAGTAGCCGATGTAATTGATTGCATTTACTATAAAATACTTTTTATTCAAAGTAAGTGTGAAAGTAAATGCGTAAGCAAAGATTATTCATCAAATAACTTGTATTTGACAGAACGAAATGCTAAACCTAAAGCAGAACAACGAGCGTCTACAGCGGCTGGTGACGTCACGCTCGTTGGCCGGCAGTCAAAGCTCGCTTGGCACTGGTGGCTCAGCAGTTGAGGACCCTAGGAGATTCAGTCTTGCAGACCAGGCTACTATGCACCAGGTACGAAACCAAACAAACTATAGCATATCATTTTTTCTATGAATAACTTCGAAGGTTAGGTTTCTAAGATTATTGGTACTGTAAAGTTTCATTTAGTTTAATGGTTACACTAAAACTTACTAGATTTTCATAAGTAGATTTACAATGGTCGCGGAACGATCTTTGTATAGAAACGAATTTTTGTAACCATAGCATAATGAACTTTGCGTCAATTGTGTAACGTACAAACTAGATTAATGTAAATTGAGCGTAGTCGCGAAATATTTGTCTTTTCAACAGCAAGACGCTTATGCGACTTGGTCTTCACTCTAAATTTAAGTCGGTGTATAATACATGCGTATTATGAAATTTATAATATATAAAAATAATATAAATCACTTGAACTACTCAGTATTTATTTTTACTACATAACACTAAAGACCTTGCAAAGTTTCGTTTGTATTTATAATTATTTGTTTATAATATTACTTGCTTAAAAACAGATAAAGCCAAAATAATTTACGCGAATATTTTATCGATATTTTATCTTTCACGGGTATCATGTAAATTGTATTGACTCACACTTTATTGCATCAAATAGTTCACCTATACTTGCTAAAGATAAATCAGAAATTTGTTGTTCGATCGCTCTGCTCTGTTAGCTCTGATAATAAATTATAATAACTTAAGTAATAATGATAATATAGTCTATATAGTTAAAAGACAAGTGTTTCATTAAATATCTACACTACAGACTGCTAATCTCACACAAATCTACAAATCGCTACAAATCGTAACTCTGAATAAAGTGTAAAAATTGTTTAAAAAACCAAAAAACCCGACTGCAAAAATATTTTGCTGGAAAGATAAAAAAAACTAACCCACCTCCCTATTTGGATTATTTTTTTATAACCTTTTACACTCCCACAATCAAGACGAATCTAACGACACCTCATATGTCAAAATCCATCAAGCCGTTTAGGCTGTATACAGGGAAATGGCAAATGGCAGTCGGGTAAAAAGGTCCAAATTCCGTCTTGTATATGTACATATAAAGACAATTTATAAACTAATTTATAAAACGCTTGCTAGTATGGGTAAATGGCGCTAATCCTAAACAATTTATAAGAATATCCGGCAGTATAAATAAGAATCTGTGCAATAAGCACCATCTACTTGATTTGTTTGTTATACCAGATATTAGAGTAGCTTTGATAAATTATAGCTCGTCAGTGTAAAACAAATTGGTTACAAAAATTACTTCTAATTTACCATAGATATAGAAATTAGTTACTCGTCGCTTCATCTGGTGTACCAATAGTTACTAATACCCGACGACGCGGCCTTGTACAGCGATTAGCAGCCTCTTGAATTATTGGTTCATGCCCAAATTATTATTAATATGCGAAAGTAACTCTGTCTGTCGTGTGTTCCGTTTTCACACTTAACCCGCTGAACCAATTTGAATGAATTTTGGTATAGAGATGGATGGGACCTAGGAGAAGGACATAGGCTACTTTCTGAAAATTAGTATGGTACAGTAGAATATACGAAGGCGACATACCACGTTGCGCGCAACAGCTGATAAACAAGAATTATTTAAGGTGAAGGTGGGGAGAGGCCACTAGAGTTTGTCGTCACAAATTAGTATTTTCTTTTCAAACTTCTGATTACTGAAAGCCTTTCATTTTTCAACAAATTTTATTACCTAATTTGATGACCTATGGCCTGCTTTGCACTGTGAACGCTGAACAAGAAGGCCCCGGGTTCGATTCTTGGTAGGACCAGTTCTGTTAAGTTTACTTTATGTAAATTGGTTTTGAGACTCGATTCTGAACCTTACGATAACTCAGTTGTCGACCGATTCGATTTGATATCGTACGATTTCTTTTCAATTTTATTCACAACACCCAAATCGAAAGTCAAACTGTCGTATTCGAAACTTAACCGAAACGACATAATTTCCGTACGATCGACCGGCAAAAGCTACAAACGCTATTCAGAACACAGTTATCGAATGAAAGTTACCAAACGTCCTATTGTATACAAAGCCAGAATAAATATGGAAATGTCTTATAATTTTAAATAAAGTCTGGATTTTGTTCAATTTCATTAATTTATTTTAATGCATGACATTAGTCTTAAAAATATATAGGAATGCATTAGCATTCCTATATTTTAGGCCTTTAAAGTCTTATAAATATATATACGGAGTTAAGGACTATCCACACATACTCAGGCTGTGCCCGGAACGTAGACGGGCCGTGCTCCGTCAGGGGCTCAAAAGAATATCGTTGCGTATATTACGAGTATGTATGAACTCGTTCACACATGTCCGTGTCCGGGCCGGCGCCGGGACGGGCACGCAGTTCATACAAAGTAGCATGCCTCGGCAACGTCCCGGGTACGGCCCTGATGTGTGTGGATAGTCCTTAACTCCGTAAATGCTGTTCGATAACGATATCGTATCCGAATCGAACGTTTAACTGAATAACTCGGAAAGCGCTCTTCGATTCGAGAACGAAATCCAATCGAACAATTCGATTAAAGTATCGAAGAGCTCTGAATCGGGGTCATGGTTGGAGTGTCCTGGGTAGCGCCCCCAAAGGAGTGAATTCCGTTGCTCTGGTCCGCATAGTACAGTGTATTCCTTAGTTTGCGACCACGTAATTGATATGGTTGTATTGCACATTATCATAATAATCTAATTTTGTCCTATATTTTCACTTACAGACAACTATAGACATCCACTCTCAGCCATTAGATTTAGACTTCAACTGTATTACCTCAACCCCTACCATGGACTTCTCGAAAAAGGGCTCTCCCAAATCCATGGGCGAACCCATCTATGGCAACAAAGCTACCTGCGAACTAAGTGAAAATAACGAAACTTTATTAGAAGCACTCAATGGTACCAGTGACATATTTGCCAACGGGTTGACTGCTACGGATAGATTAAGTGGAGATTACGACATTAACAGCGTGTTGCCTCCGCCTAAGAGTCGAGAACTTGCGATAGGGGAAAGCTATTCTGACATTGGTATGTGTATTATTCCATTTTGAGTTACGCCTAATATTGTATTCTGAAAAGTGCCTTACAATAACATGACTTTCTTCTTAGGGGTTGCCGATAGCCAAGGTGATACGACTGATGGAAAGAAAATAGCGATAGCTGTTTATTTAGGCCAGCCTGAAACATTTCAGAGATATTTTGAAGAAGTTCAAGACACGTTGACTGAATCCGAATGCAGATTCTTCGCTAAACAGTCATCTAGCTCGTATAATCACTTCGAGAAGCAGTCTAGCTTTGATTCTCCGCGAATGTCCCAAAACCACAGTCCCACCGTAGAAACACAGGATTATCCGCAGTCTATAAATAAGTCAAATACGAATAGCCTTAAAAGCAATAAATCTACGCACAGTAATTCGTATAAAAACGTTTATAACAGTGACTCGACAATAAACTGCAATGAATTCACGATAGCTTACACGTATATTTCTGGCAAGACGACTTGGCAGAATCTAGATTACATAGTTAGAAAGACGTTCAAGGATTTCCTGTCGAGAATAGATCCGGGGACAAACCTTGGTTTGAACACAGACTCCATTACGTCGTATCATTTGGGAGAGGCTACGAGAGGCCCGGAGATTGGCTTCCCCGAACTGCTTCCGTGCGGATATATCATCGGCACTGTAAACACGCTTTACATTTGCCTTCAAGGCGTCGGCAGCTTAGCATTCGACAGCCTTATACCAAAAAATATCGTATACAGGTAAGATAACACCTTAATGTTAGCACATCTCTAAAGAACAGTATGTTCTATTGGAATCAGTATTTCTGCCATGAAACCAAATACTATCGCAATTCAAAATTGTGGAATTAAGAAAACACGATTTGAAGTTCCAAAAATTATTTGGTGAAGCTAATAACTTTATATTCTCGTTTGAAAATAACTAAATATTATCATAATAATATTATTCGCAATAGGATAGGAATGGATATTCGATATTTTTTTTAACTTTCATATTGTGTTTTCTCAATTCCACCAATGTTGGAGTTACGACAGTATTTGGTTTCAAATGCGATTTCACAATTATATGTATATTACCAGGTACGTGTCGCTATTATCGGAGCACCGGCGGGTAATTCTATGCGGACCCAGCGGAACCGGCAAATCTTATTTGGCAGCAAAATTAGCCGAATTCTACGTCCAAAGGACGCAACGCCGCGGCAACCCAGCAGAAGCCGTTGCTACTTTCAAGTGGGTCTTATTTTGTTATAAACATTATTTTAGAACTTTATGATTTAGACTGATATGTTATCAGCAATTTAGTTGCCAATGATGAATAAAAATATGTAGTTAAGCATTTTTTTTTTGTTACGGGTAGGTATAAAATGAAACGAAGTGACAACTAATATTTGTGTATTTCAATTTTGTAATTCGACTACCATTACATTTTGCAGTATATCCCATTACAATTAGTATCACTGAGAACAAGTATCTATATTGGGCAAATGTTTCCAATCCTGTGAATTCTTACTACTAAGGATGCACATTACAATTCGATTTTTATGAAGATCGATTCATGTGCATACGATTAAATGATTTTTTGTATCGATTTATTTCAATGTGAATCGATTCAATAGAAAGGCAAATCGATCCGTCTAGATCAAAAAGCAATAAACATGTAATATTATCATTAAATTTGAACAAAATTCAATTTACAACAATATTTAGCTTTAATTAGTTTATATCCTCAATTTTGTTTCAAATTCAATTCAAATTCTTTATTGCGTATCATGTTGTACATTTGTAGTTATTAAAATGTTGGTATGAACCAAACATGAACCCTGCAAGGGCGCTGCAATGTTAAAATTAAGATTTCAGGCATTAATGAATTTCATTCCGATGTAAACCTGGCGTTAACAAAGCGCCGTGTTAAAACCTTGGCACTTACCCATCTCTGAACATGACTAGATTTAGTGATTGTTTTTCAGAGTACACATTGGTCAAACATTTTGTTTCGCAAAAAAAAATCAAAATACAAGAGATATGTAGATAATTGCCAAATAGTACCAGTTCACACACCGTTGACACAAGAAATCACAGATTTTTAATTAAGGAAAATCTTACAGCGTGGATCGCAAAACGTGTAACGAGCTTCGCGCATACCTCGCGAACATAGCCGAGCAATGCAGTGCTGCAGCCGCCGGCGAAGAGGCAGCGCTGCCTTCAGTGGTAGTTTTAGACAACTTACAACACGCTTCGGCGCTTGGTGATGCCTTTGCCGGACTCTTGCCGCCTGACAACCGGAACATGCCAGTTATTATTGGTTAGTATAACATACATTAGGACTTAAAACAACGTTATCAAATAAAATTAAGTGGGTTATCATTAATCATGTCAATTTGTCAAACGTTGTACAATTTATCGTGTTTTAGTTATTTTTGACGCCAATAGGTACACGAATTATGTAATCTACCGAAACGGGTTTATTGATAAAAGTTCCGTCCCACGGCCGCTTTTACGATGTTGAGGATAATTCCTTATCGCTAATGCCTAAAGGCGGCGGTTACCACTATCCAGCAAATAGATTGATTGCCTGTTAGATACCATAAAAAAGAAATTCCTCGTATGTTACGTCTCCTTTACCAGTTAATTGGCACTATGAAGAGCCTTTCGATATGATGTATTTTATACGAGCCGTTGACTTGCAGATAACGCACGTAAACGTGATTTAAACACAATACGCAGATGCACGCGAGAAGCGCGATCGAAGCTCGTCTGTATCGCGTTTTACGCGCGTTTGAAATTATACAAACACGCACAAACATCGCGTTGCAAGCAAGAAGCTCATTATAAACTCCACTGGAGTTCACACTTAGAATTTCGTGTAGTTGCTTCATTTGAAATACTAACTCAAACAAACAAACATAACTAAAATTAAAACTATCTCTTATCAGAATGCGCGATACATACGTGCGACTAATGTCTAATAAAGAGTGTTGGTAGCCCAGTTAGATGATGGTTGCTTCTCGAGTGAGAAGTCGGCGGTTCGAATCCCTGTGGCAGCATGTGCCCTATGACTTTGTTTCTAAGTTGCGTACATGTTTGTGTGAATGAATGTTTAGTAGCAATATCTCTCACTAATAAAGGGAAAGGAGAACGTCGTGTTGATATCTGTATGTTCCAAGAAGGTAAATAAACCTTTGAAAAATGTTTCTAGTCCCCTATTCCGCATTGGCCCAGCGTCTAGGACTATGGCCTAAACCTCTCCGTAGAGGAGACCCGTGCCCATCAGAGCTAATGACGTTTAATTTCGAATTCTCCTATGATTATCTCGTCAACTAAAGTGATGTGTTACATACATATGTTAAAATATGCCATTGCGTTTCAGGAACAATGTCCCAGGCGACATGTAACACAACAAATCTTCAATTGCACCACAACTTCAGGTGGCTTCTTACTGCAAATCACATGGAACCTGTCAAAGGATTCTTAGCTAGGTAATTCTGCAAAAAAAATTCATACTAGAATGTGTCATTTTCCCTATAATACGTTGTTGTAAGTTGAGTTATGTGAATTAAAATAAAAATTACAACTCTCAAAAATTAAAATTATTTACATAGATAGTAAAATTTTGAGTTGATGAATTACTTAGATATGTTTTATTTACTAAAGCATGTGCAAAGAGAATTCGTTTGATTATTAATTTTCACACATTTTTTTATAAATAGTAGATACATTTTAAATTACTATAATTTTTTTAAGCACTTTTTTGTTTTAAACACGAAATGTTGTGTTCACATCTAGAAGGATACACTCTTCTCGTCTTATAATGTTAACCAACCACTTTTATTTTATTTAAGAATTTGTATCCATTGAACTGTTAATAAAAAAAAAATAAAACAAATACTTATTACCAGGTATCTTCGTCGGAAATTATTCTCCCTGGAGCTGAGGCTGGGTCGCCGTGAGGCAGCTCTTGCTGCCGTGCTAGAATGGTTGCCTGGTGTGTGGTCCACTCTCAATGCCTTCCTCGAAGCTCACTCATCCAGTGACGTCACCGTGGGCCCTAGACTATTCCTCGCTTGTCCTATGGATCTCGAAGCTAGTCAGGTTAGAAATAACAGCAATGTCTGTTATAGATGTTAATTATTACGCATAAGATCGCATCGCATACTAAAAGTAAAGTATAATACTTAGCCGTCGTAGAATTAAACTTTGATTTTTGGTTTGTTAAGACATTCATGTGAAATTTGCCTCTAATATACAGGTTGACTACTAAAGGTCTGCGAGATTATCAGAGGCTTATCCTTCCTATTCATATATATAGGAGATTAAATCCGAGATTATATCTCGGAAATGTTTTTTTTATAATTTCAAGTGACAGGGCGAACAAGTCGTGCGCCTGATGGTAAGCTACACGCCTGTCCATAACAGTTGCAGTGCCATTCTGAGCTTTAAATCGCAAAGATCTGAGGAGCACTGCCACTGCATCCGACACCCTGAGACATAAGTTGAGAAGTCCCATGTGCCTGTAATTTCGCCAGCACCCTTACCCTTCAAAACCGGACCACAGTAATGCTGACATTACTACTTGGCGGCCGAAATACGTAAGATGGCAGTACTTCCCTGGACGAACTCTTTCACAAGCAGCTCTACTGCTACTAAAATATTTATAGAAATTATATAGTTAATAGAATTACCCTCCTCTAAAACGCTTGCAAACCTTTTGACATCTGTTGCCGGATCCGTTGAAAATCAGCGTCGTAGCACTTGAATGTGAGACGACAACAAGCTGAGTGGGCCACGGCTTCCTTGACAACACAGCACACACGCTTTGTACTCTATATATTATATGTATTTAGTTTCAAATCCTTAGGTTATTATTACTATTATTATCAGTATTATTATAAAATGCATGTGTACTGTGTTTCAAGGAATAAATGATTTCTTTCTTCTTTCTTTCTATCTCTTTTAACGGCAGTTAAAAGAATTTACAGCATTAAAGCTTAAGATTGCTACCTTAATATTATTTTTTTTATTAATATACGCCTTTAGATTTCACCAACACCAGAATGATTAAATTCTGAAAATTTTAATCAATTCACCATAATATTCACGTATTAGGCATGGTTCGCGGACGTATGGAACTACAGCATCGTGCCGTACGTATCGGAGGCCGTACGCGAAGGGGTCGCTCTATACGGCAAACGTCGCCATGCTGCGCAGGATCCACTACAGCACGTCAAGTCTTCCTACCCTTGGCGGGAACCTAATCATTCACATGTAAGTAACTAACTGCTTCTTCTCTTCTGAATTCACTCATTACTGACATAGAGTGATCATCTAATAGATCATCTAACCGATATCTAGAATTTTATAGTACTCTATGTGAAGAACGAGCTTTGCCGAATAAAACTGAAAAATGCTAAAGTCACGTGTTATGCTCTGTGTGTGAATTGAGAAACTTTAAAATGCTCCCCTGTAAACTTGGCAATTTCACTAAAAATAAAACCATTAACACTTCTTTTACTCAAAGCGTACATGGACTTAATGGTCTTGCTCCATCGTAAATGCTTTTTCTGAATTTTAGTTTTGAATTATTTCTTTACTCATCAGGTCTTTTTTTAACTGTAAATACTTCATAAAATACCGACTGCCGGCTCTTTATTACTAATCCAACAAAGTTAGTTCCTCATAAAGATTATCAAGTTTAGAACAAGTGCCAATGCGTAAGTGTTTAAATTAGTTGTTGCACTATACTGATGGTACGTGCGTTACCGACACGACTCACTTTTTTAACCGACTGCAAAAAAGGAGGAGGTTCTCAATTCGACTGTATGTTCTTTTTTTTGTTTTTTTTTTGTATGTATGTTACGCGATAACTCCGGTATTTGTGAACCGATTTTCATGATTCTTTTTTTGTTGGAAAGGGGGTAATTCCATAGTGGTCCCATTTTATTTTGAAGAAAATCAACCACCTCAAAGGGTGGCTGTTCACGCATGAAGATTCATTTTTATAAATAGCGCCTGACTTTAATTTAGGAGCAACTACTTTTAGCAATTATTTAGTTGATTTTGCTATTTCTCCAATTCAAGGCGTTTTTCTCTCGATATACTTTGAGTAGCGTCGTAGTGAGAACCTATTTTTATTATCTCCAGTATCAAGTCCTGTATAGTGGCGAACTTGGAGATATTTCAATGAAACTTAGCAAATAGATGGAATTCCACGTACTTTTGAGGTCGGTTTTTTTATGTCCTATTGTATTCTAAAGTTAAAGCGATAAGACGAACCGGTGCAAATAAAATTTCGCCAACTATACGAGTCCGGATTCGAACCCATGGCTTCTTCTTAAGAGGTGGTGTGTCAAACTACCTATACATAATGACAAAAGCTCATTTAAGCGGCGTTTGAACCCAGTGGCCATATTAAGAAATAAACAATTCTTTCATCCAGCCTTGAATAAACATAAAGATTAACAGATTCTAAATGTATAGCACATTTGCACAACATGCACATAGTTCTAAGAATGGACCTATCTCCTAAGAGTACTAATAAGCGTTTATTTTTAATTGCAGACGCTCAGAGCAATAACCGTCGATGACATCGGCATCGAGGAATCGAATCAAGATGCGAACACAAACAATAATCAAGATCCATTGGTAAGTGACCAGAGTAGTTATAAAATTAGAATTAAACCAAGCTGTGAAACATTAAATGGTTTGTAACTACATATTGCATGACATACATACATTTTTAAGCATGTCTACTTTTGGGGCATGCGAAAACTTTGTTGCAGAAGTTGCTAGAATTTTTATTTTCAACTATGATGATGATTTAAATATTTCATTTACAGTTGAACATGCTAATGCGACTCCAAGAGGCGGCTAACTACAGTGGAAACCAAAGCCAAGACTCTGACAACGCGAGTATGGACTCGAATCTCACCCACGACAGCTCAATGGCCAATGAGCTCTAACACAGCTGTTATAATACTCTATTTATAACTGTTGATTAATGTTAATGGATATGACCGATGCGTTAATTCAGATAATATGTAACTTGACACTAAAATTACGTCGATCATTTTATTGTGTTATTGTTTAACCTTTTGTTTCACTTATCTATAATTTTTCTTTAAATTTATCCTTAGTTCTCCATATAAAAACGACTGAACGTTACAATACCTAATGTTCGAAAACTTGAAGAGGATTTGTGTGAATTATGATATACAAAGCCAAATATTTGCCATATTTGTACATTATTTATATTTATTTACGCTAGAGATACGTCTATAATTTTGAAATCTTATTTTATTTAGCAATATCTATTAGTAAGTTGCTTCTTAGTCAATCGCAGAATTATTAAAAGTTCCTTATGGAAAGTTTTCACTCAGCTGTATTTGCGGATCGTAGCAAATATCAGAAGCTCGAGTATTTAAACCTTTCTCTAAAATGTTTTTATTTCGTTGCAATTTAATGTGATTCGTTAAAAGTCAATGTTAAAAAGCTTGACGTGTATTGTGAGGAAATAATAGTGCCTGGAGGGATATTTTTCCATTTTTATGAGGTAATTCAAACAGTATAAACTTTGTTCTTAGTGGAATTTAAGGTACTTAAACCTGTGTTCAATATAAAATCTAGTTTTTATTAACATTGTTAATTTATGTCATTTGTATTACCAACTGTAAAACACCAGACTCAGTTGTCATAAAAAATAACCATTTTCACTGAACAAAGTTTACAACTGTCCAAGTTTATATAAAGCATTGTGGCTTTTTACTATTGTTATATTTTTCAAATTAGAATACGAACCGCATTTGTATTATTAGACATTGTATGTAATATATGAAAGTGTAATTTTTATACCATTTTCATATTAAAACTCGTGTACCTAATAAAAATATTTAGGTGTAAATAAAATAATATGTTTAATATAATTTTTTCTACGCAAATACACTAACCGCTACTATGCCATAAAAAGTATAATGTTACTTTTGTATAGAAATGTGTAACGTCTAGTTACAGTGTTCGGTATGGATTGACTTGTGTGCATAACGAAACGTGATATCTACAATCTATGCTTTACGAAAATTGTGAAATAAACATTGATTATAAAATGAATGTTTTTTCTCTCGTACCTATTTTCACTTCATTATAGTTTTATTGCAAAATACATACCTTATTTATTTTATGTCCTTTTCAGCACGTATCAATTCATTCTCTTTTTAGGTAGGTAACTCCGGATCCAACCTTTCTCTTTTTAGGTAGGTAACTCCGGATCCAACCTGTCAAAAAAGTGACAACCCAACACTTGTCACTGGGTTGAGGGTTCGCAAACCTAATATCCCATGTTTGGAATAAGCTTATTCCAGCGTGGACAGTAAAATACCCTTATAACTTTTGTACGGCGGACCGACTAAATCTAGTTTTTTGCGACTAGAATCGACTAAACAGAGACTTCTTGGCTAGTCAAATTTCAAAACTACCATGACCACGCTGGAATAAAGCACGCTATGCAATGGTGTAATGTTATGTCCTTTTGGTTCCTATAATCACGGGATTGGTGTTTACTAACTTTTTCAAACATGCATATAGCAACCTTTCAATCCTTCAATTCTACAAGATTCTAAGATTTTTTTTCCATCCCGAACCTCCTAAGAACTTTTAAGTTAGTAATTAAAGCGAAGAAATAGTAATTATTTTCCAAATTCACAAACGAAAAAAACGCTACTATAATTACAACAATGTGTTCGATCTTTGTATTAATAAATTAATAGCTAACATTTTAATTGCACATAATAACGTCTCTAGCCAAGCCTGGAAGCTGTATAAAGTTACCTAACTGGGTGACGAAATACTTTCATAAATTATTAATTACTTTAATTACTCACGCGCAATAAATAGAACAGAATAAACCCAGCAGGGTAACTAAATTCCATTGCCTTATCCAGTTTGGTAGCATTTATTGATGAAGCTGTTGCCCAGGGTAGACAGTGGGGTTGTTTATGATAAACTGTTATACAGATAATATTCCAATAATACGGAGTAGGAAGGAAACACTGTAGAGAATTCAGTATGTTTATTAAAACTACACCTTAATTACGTAAATTCAATTGATTAATACAAGACATGAAATTGGAGCAATTTTGGACGGAACCTGTTATAAATTCATTTAAGACTAGACTTTATTGAATTACATCTTCAAAGGAACTTCAAGTATTTTTCTGATTGAGTAAGGCACAATGACAAAAAAGAAAATATTTAACATTATATGACTCAAATTCCTGATATTATATAAACACTTCTTCAACATTCCTGCATTACAATTTATTTGTTTAATGTCGCAGTAGTCACAAGTTCTGAACAAAAGTGTAAAACCTAACTAAAACACAACACAAGACATGACTTTTAAAACAAAAATTATTATTTACTACTATATTGAAAAACTGGCCAGACACTCATACCTCCAGTCATGATATTATTCCGATATTATTTAATTTTTTCTACAATTCCAACAATTTTGACACAACACATAGTGTTTAGCCAGCAAATACTTAATAACTAGTCACACAAAGATTTAAAATACTCATAATTGACAAACTTACAAAATAAATGCATACATTTGAACATCAACATGATGATAAAAAGGCGTTTCATTGACTGGTAAGTTACAGCATAGTTAAATTTTTTAATAATTAGATAGATACTAAAGAGCAGTATTATTTTTCTGAAATTTATATAACAAATATTATGCACAGCAAAAGCTTATTTTTAAAACCAGGATTCTAAATTTTATATTATTGCTACTCATTTTTGTGCTTTATACATTACACATCTCAATCGCTATGAATATCCAGACTTAGATTAGAGAGTGAAGGAACAGGAGATTCTGAAAATTCAGCAGAATCATCAGTTATTCTACTTTTATCGATCGGTGACAACTTTTTTGATTGTTCATCTACAGCAGTCTTATTCACACTTATGTTATTTACAAAATTCATTGGATGATTAAATGAAGAGTTATTTTCACTGATTAAATCAGCTACATCTGATATTGAAACTGAACTCTGTGAACTTTGCGAATTTTGGTGAGGACTTTCAATCGAAACATTCTTGTCAGGACTTTTGTTATCATATTCCTCATGAGTTGATTCTGGCGACTGTAACCCATCAATCTGTTTATTTTTAGTAAGTGTTGATGCTGTGAAATCATAACTGTACACAGTTGTTTCAGCATCAGACTTAGCTGATTCTTCTATTAATGATTTAACAGCAACTACTTCAGTATCATTTTCTCTTTTGGGAGACATTGTAGAGCCACTACTCAAAGTTACAGATTGATAATTGTCACTTGGGTTATGATTGTGAGGCCCAGTGGGTATGTTTGATGTAGGTTGTTTAACAATGTTATAAGTAGGCTCTTCATCAGTTTTTGACAATCTTATAGTATTTTGGATGTTCTCAAGCACTGGTCTATATAGTTTAACATCCGCATAGGAGGTGGAGTCACTGCTACTATTTGTTAATTTAATTTCCTGTAATCTGTGAGTACCATTCCTGACAGAATTGTTGTGTTCATCTTGGTCCAATGTTTGATTTAGATCTGGAGTTTCTTTAGATTTTTCTAGATTTTGTCTTTTAGAATTCAAAACAATATTCTGATTTGTGATATATTCTGAACTTGATTTATCCCTTGCAGAGTCACTGGATGTGTCAGTGTCTGAATTGTCCAGTTGCAATCGCAAATGAAGTTTGTTTTTGTCATCGTATGAATTGTCCGACTGTGAGTTACTGGACGCACTACTGCTAGAGTCTTCATGAACTATGTAGGTACAGTTCTGATCATCTTTAAAGTTGGTGTCATCAAGTTTTAGGTTATGATTGTCAGTGTTATCATAATTCTTTCTTTGACTGAGAATCTTTAAAAGAGTGATTAAAATAGGTTCTTTCGCGGTTTCCATTTTAGGGAGGTTAAGTTTTTCGGACAATTTCTTTGAGCCGTCGTAGGAATAGTCCTTCTTTTGTCGCGATTCCGCCATGTACACAAACAATGTGTTTTTCAGGTTACAAAATTCCAAGAACTCGTGTACTATTGACAGCGAGAGCTTACCTTCTGGGAGTTTAAGTATGTTGTCCAAGCTCACATTCTGTTTAATATTCTCGTAATCATCCTCGAAAGCTAAGAAAACGTTGGCCCTTAGTAACGCACGAATTTTTGCTAGCGAACCGTTTCTCTCTAGTGCTTCTATGACTAAATCTCGCAGCTCCGTATCTTCAGATTGCGCCATTATTATTATCAAAAGTGGTAATAGTCTATTAGGAACAGTGTTTAATTACTAAGTACCTTTAGATAAAATTGTAATAAAAATATTTCTCCATCAACACAAACAAATCGAAAACGTCATTAACCTAACTGTCATAGTGACAGCGTCAAAAATAGAGATACCACTATTTCCTGTTATTACTAGACGTAAGTAAAAAGTTACATATTCTTATTTATTTACCTAGTACGTATATTAGTTTAATAAAATATTAGAATTGGTTTAAAAAACAACTTTATGAAATGAAATAACGCATGTTTCATACAGACATTTATTTATCCTTATACAATACGTAATGAAAAATGATCCTTCAAAGTAGGTTCTCACAGCTAACATGAAATATGTACAAATATAGTACCTAAGTACCGTTTATATGACTAATTACAGATAATCTAAAAAAATAATTTATAAAATAAAATACAGTTCGTGCTGTAATATACAAATTATTTTTTCCCGAAGAAAGATCTAGATTACATCTATATATCTTTGAAAGCGTGCTCGATTACAAGGGGTTGAAGGCTTGCGCCGGGAAAATGTAGGAAATTCAGTCAGTCGGGTCGAGCCAACACGAGAGGGCGGTGCTTCGTCCGGCTCCACCGCCTCCCTCAGAATGAAACTTTTAGTCTGTTTTTCAATCATATCTTGAGCACAATATTAACCAAAAATCGTACTCAGTGTAAAATTTTACATGTTAATTTTTGACAAGGATCCTTTGGTACAGTCGGATCGGGAGTGTTAAAATACGAGTGGCGGGAAACCAGTTCTAATATCTCGCTTGACGTGTTGTGTCCTATGTGTACGTAGAGCGAGAGGAGCCGTCTGCCCTAGAGGGCGGCCGACATGCTGGATTCGTCGTGAATCGATATTTTTGGAACGTTGCAGAGCAGAGCATGAGGTCCGAGGCTGTGTGAAGGTACGACAGGTGATATTATTAGCAGTGGCCGCACGTCATACTCCACCCAGGCCGCCCGAACGTCTGCCCGGGCCCATGTTGGGCCATAATAACGCTCGCTGTTTGTCATTTCGAATTCTATCAACAAAATAAACATTACTCTTGTTTTTTTTTAAAATTAAATTATAACTAAACAATCGAGGACATAATTTAATGTTTTCGATAAGATATACCCTGTTTTATAGAATTAATATAGTTACAGCTTTATCGTAATCTGAAAATTAAACAGAAGTATTATTTTATCATAATTAAAAAACGGCTATAGCATTTTTTTGTGAGTTCTCTACAGGAATATACCTCACTTAACTAGCTATCAACTATTTATTGCAATAGTAGTTTTACGTCATTCCCCACTGGGAATTTTTGTTCGAATTAAAATAATTTCTTGCTTACCGACCTACTTGAATTTAGATAATACCATTGTAAAAATAAATTATTTAAAGGCCGCAAAAGTCACTAGAAGCCTAAATAATTTAAATAATAACCTGTTTTACTTAATCAAATTGTTCAAAAGACCCCACAATTTCGCATGATATTCGTGACCCTAAAACTATAGGTATGTCTAATGTCATATGTAGTACTAAGAAAGCGTTGCTCTTCCTTGAACCTTACCGTCAACGCTTTGAAGTTCTAAATTCAATGGCGACAGCACCACACAAAAATATCATTACGTTGAAAAAGGTACAGCACAAGATAAGACTTGGGATATGTACGAGATATATGCAATTTTTATTAATTACGTTATATGTTAATGAAGGGTTTATAACGAGGGGACGAGAATAAAGCTAGGTTGGATAGAGGATAATGTATAATATCATCTCATGTCGTATTTTGATATCCGAATTCGTCGATAACCAATGAAGACCGTCTAATATGTTAATGTATAGTAAGTTAGATTGGAACTGCAGAATTTCTCTCCACTGATAGGAAGAAAAGAAGATAGTCACATTTTCTGTGTGAGCTGTACCAACAATTCTTCCAAACATTTAAATTATCTATAGGAAATTTAAATCTTACTTTACCAAATTTAAAAGCTGGAAGGTGTGTACTTATTATCTTTTCTGTTTCTATAATTTATAATACATATTTATTAAGTACAAAATTTAGTTCGCTGAATTAATTCAATGGAGTAGAGTCAAATGGAGTTCATAATGTAACTAAAATTATAAACTACTCACGTTCTCTGAAATGTTCAATTAAAAATTCAAATAAGCTCTTAATTGGATCAGGTGTTAATGAAATCCAATCAGATAACGAAACAAAAATCTAATTTTCTCCACTTCTTGCTAATACGATTACCGTTGATTAGTGTTTGTTATCTTGTTTAGCGGAGTTTGTGCAAAGTGGATTTTTGTTAGATGTTCCGAATGCAATAACGGCTAAATCGAATCCAACTTCTCTAACTAATGATACTAGAAGAATTAGAGTTTTGGTAGGGGTAAAGTTTTGTCAAAAGTAGTTAGGCTTAATTAATTTATTTATTTCTCATTTTATATTACGGACAATTATACTTTCCAAAGTCTTCATCGTTTTTTTATGATATCATGTGACGGGACGAACAAGTCGTGCGCTTTGTGGTAAGCAACACGCCTCTCCATAACAGTCGCAGTGCCGGTCAGAGCTTTAAATCGCAAACACCTGAGGGGCAATGCAACTGCGCCCGTCACCCTGAGACATAAGTTGACAAATCCCATATGCCTGTGACTTCACCACGGCAACCGTTGATAACTTCTTCCGTGTCGCATCACGTTTTAATAGAAGATATTATAATCAAGATTTGCAATTTTTACAAACTTTGTTACCTGATTTTTGTCTGTATCAATAGTTTTGTCAATGTGCACTGAGACTATCAAAATGTCGTTTACATTTCTATAAAGCCTTGTATTATTTAAAACTGAATATATATACACAAGACAATATAAATCGACACAGTCTTTGAATGGACTGTTCAAAAATGGAATAAATGTTTCGATTGTGCTCCGTGCTCCCGTGAGCACACGCTGGCTTAACCACCAATGTTTCCACTGCAAACATCATGAGCTCCAAATTGACTACTGCCGCCTCACACGGACCCGATTTCAAAGTTTTTAGATTCTATTATGAGCAAAATACCGCACGAAGACATGGCTCTTGTTATTCTACTTTTGTTTGCTTTATTAGCGTCGTCGATATGATGCTAGTATATTACCTTAACTCTTTGTAATTTTCTTTTGATGTAGAATACTATTCAGTTATTAGAATCTGAAATATGAGAAAACTTTGATATTGATCAAACTTTTAAGGCTTTAAGTTCGTTTGTCTTAACACACGCACCGTTTCATACCTTATTTTTAATTACCTCTACAAATTCAGCCGCGTCGTCAAGACAGCAATTTTCTAAGTACAGGTGAAGAAACTGATACGGCGTATCTAATTATTATTTTTTGTTTCCAACGAAAACACAAAACAAACGGTCTCTGGCTGAGTTCATGGACGCCGAACTTTAAGGCCCTCAACTTGGGCTTTGATAATTAGAATTAATGGTGCGCCCTCTTAACTTTGATGTGAATCGTCTAAAAGCTGAGATAGGTAAACAACATGTGCCCATGTTATAATTATTTGCTTGATTAATGTTAATCGTGATTTTGATAGACATGTAATTTAGCGTAAGGAAATTTACCTTAGTTTGGTTTACATTGTAAATTGGTATCGTTGACAAAGAGCATTATTTATATATTTATACTGTGTTACATACGCAGTATAAATATGAAAATGGTGAAACGAGACCTTCAGCTGTCGTAGAAACCAACATTCAAGACAGCTAAAATAAATAATTATTTAAAAGTACTTTCATGTTCCGATCTACTATATCTTCATCGAAAATTATTCTCTCATCGAGCAAGCTTACCTTTCCAACCAATTCATTAGACGAAAAAATGGCTCTAGTATAATTATCCAACAATGAAAAAGAGGACACAAATGTAAATATTCCGTTTCCAATTCGTGTAAAATTACAATGCGAACTAGTAAGGTTGTCATGTCGATACTATCCACCAATGGGTAAAGCATGAGCAAAACATTATATTGCGCTGAAGCATGCGATAGTCTATGTTATTTTTGTAATTGGAGTTCTTTATTGTATTGTATGAACTACCATCAAATATATATTTTTGTATATCTTAAAGTTCTGCTTTATTAGTGCAAAGGTCACAATATCTTATTTACGGTGAGTTCTTAACACGCTACGGAAAACTCGATAATGGTTTTAGATACGTCTTTGTTTGGTTCAATTTAAATATATTTTTTCATTAAACTTCATTTAGAAAGTCACCACACTTATTAACGTGAAGTCGCATTAAGGCGGTCTGAAAAAAATTTATGTCCATGTAATAAAGGCGAAAAAGACGTTGCGAGTTCGCAACGTCCTTTTCGCCCTTACTACGTGTGGCGCACTATAAGTTTCCGGAATGAAAAAGAAAAAAATAAAAGTTACAAGGTGCCAGGTCGGGACTGTACGCGGGATGGCTCATAAAGTCATCGTTGTTCACCTTCAAAAAGAAGTTTATCAATAGCTTCTGGCAAATAAATGGTCCCTATTCACGGTACAACGATTTTCCAAAGCAATAGTAGCCGCGTGTCCAGTTTTATTAAAAAAAAGAAGCAATCATCCGCTTAGAGGCATTGTGCACGCGCGCCACTTTGGTTGCCTAACTGCTTTGTTTGGGGATCGTAACTACAAATCCATATTTCGTCACCTGTTACTATGTCCCACACCAAATTTGTTTGACCACTTCGTTGAATCTGGTAAGCATGGCATTGCACCAAATGATGCGATCCGTTTTTTGAGCCTCAGTCAAATTGTGTGGGATCCACCCAAATGTTTGTGTATTATTGATTGTATTTGACTCATGCCTATGCCTAAAGATGCCCGAATCTCATGGTATGTCACATGCCGGTCTGTTTTGATCATATGGCGCACAGCATCAATGTTTTTGTTGTTCACAGCAGTGGACGGGCGGGTCGCCTTGCATGGTGC